GGTGGTGGCTATGTCGAAAAATAACTGAAGCATTGCTATACTTGTTGCCAATAAATATGTTCCTGAAAGTGTGAGTTCTTTTTTTTTTAAAAAAAAAGTAGGGAAACTTACTTTCTTGATGCGCCTCGTAATTCTAAAATAAATTTTCGTATTGCATGATATGATAAAAAAAGAAACATTTCTTTACTTCAATGTTTATTTATTTTGATAAATCTATTGTTCATATGATAAAAATAGCAATTTTTTTTTTGTAAAAAAAAAGTATAAGTCTTTTTATTTTTGAATGAATTCTAAAAATGGAACACCTTGAATTTTTTACAAATATATTACTAAGTTTATTGATAAAAAAATAGACCGCTAATGTTTAAATAAACATTACTACATTTGTCATTATCATGTCTTAATACAAGTGCGGCCCTTTGTTAGCCAACCTGCTGTGCAAGTGGCCCTTCACTCAAAAAGGTTGTGCACCCCTACTTTAGCGATACAAAATTTTTGAAAGATGTGCAGAAACTACTTATAAGTGTTGAAAAACACAATGGAAATGCAATGTAAATCAAAGTGAACCCAGCGTGTGGAAAATTATTTTAAAATCCAATGTAAAGTGTGGCATTTATGTATTGAAAATGTAATTTAAAAAAACCATGGAAAAATTGCAACAAAAGTGAATATATTGTCATGAATTCGGTGTATCCAATAGTGATAACTAATATTTGGTGCTTAAGTGACAATATTTTAAAATTATTGTCTTTTGGGGAACGACATGGATTTATGACAGAATTAAAGTGTCCGTTTTTTTAAAAAACTATAGCATATTGCTTATTAGGGTAGAATTAGTGTATTTTTCATAATTAGAGAATTTTGCTTATTTTGGAACCAATTACCTAAATTATGAAGCTTGTAAAATTATGAAGGTAATAATTTTCGAATGCAAGAAAAGAAAATATGTAACTTGATTCTCTCATACTGTCTATATCATAAAGTATTTTTAAATGATTCAAAAGTGCATTCATACTAAATTAAGCTAGATTTCACGTATTCAATTGAATACTAATTTGAGCAGAAAGTAAGAGAACAGGGAGCACTTTTAAGCTTAGTTATAGCATAGCCAGTATTTCTTTGGCGACAGAAAAACTAATTGAACTTACTTTTTAGATACGTCTCATATATGTATATACGCATACTAGCCTACACAAGGGTCAATTTAGAAACAGCAATAAAATTCCATGCTACTTAAAATAGATCTTTCACGAAATTCTGAACTCTGAAAACAATCATTGCATAAAATATACAGTAGGGAACCGATTATCCGGAACGATCAGGACCATCGATATTCCGGATAACTGATTTTTCCGGTTTTCTGAATTGCAACAAAAAGCCGTTTTTTTATAGTTAAACCCAACGAAAAAAAAAATTAAAAATAATCTTAAAAAGAAGAAAAAATGATGAAGTAATACATTAATGATTATTTCCAAAATGATGGTATGGTAAACATTTTTCAAAAAAGAACGAAAAATCCTAAAATCTTATGAGGAAAAAAGAAAATTTTTTTTTAAAAATGGCGGGGAAACTAATCAAATTTTGTTCCGGTTTTTTGGTTTTCCGGTTTTCTGATTTCCGGATAACGGGTTCTGTACTGTATATATATTTTAATTTGTATGATTAATATTACATTTTGTTAGCATCTTTAAAACTCATTTAGTTTTCATACCCTTGAAAATGTGCATTTTGTAAGGAAGAATAAGAAACACTTAGTTAAATGCGCTAGTTACAAAAAGTTACAAAAGATGTTATTTCCTTTCACCCTTCCCACCAGAAATTGAAAAGTTTTTACTATAGAAAGATGTTGCTATATGTAAATTAGCTTCAATATTGTAGTTAATTATAATATTTGTAAAATTCTTGAGAATTTCCTTCTTGTATGTGGTCATTTAGATTAATTATTGTGTTACTAACTTCATATCTTATTAATATCACATATTTTTTCATTTCTTTATTGTTCTTGATTTTTGGAGTTGTATGTATTTTGTAAATAAAAGCTTAAACTTTTTAAAAGTATATTAATATTTCATATTATGAAAACTATCTTTTGATATTGAGAATCAATATTTATTATTTATTATTATTTATTAAGTTTATTTATTTATTATTTATTAAGTTATAAATTTTATTTTGTAATTAATAATCAAACATTTGATTTCAATTATTTGATCCTTGATTTGTATATTTATAATAAAAATAATTTCAATTAGAACATGCCTTCAAATTAGATTCTAAACATGACTTTGCTCTTCTGTTTTCTAAAACTATTCTTTACTTTACAAATGCCTGTTCATTTAAATTTTCTGTACTTAAAATTTCATATATTTATATACAAGTGTAGGCTTTTAGAAAATTATATTTCATTAAAATAATATTTTGTTTTGAACAAATTTAATTTTTACTGAACTCAAGGTGAAACTATCTTTTTCAAATTTCTAAAAATAAGACCCTAGACACGAAATCCTGCACTAAACGCTGAAATTGGCATAATTAAAGGAAACATGATAAATTGCTAGCTATAAAACTAAAAATGCGATAAATACTTTATCCCATAAAATAGTGTAATCTTGAAATAGATTTTTGGATTTCTAATTAGGTTTTTGATATTTAATTTTCTCTCTGTGTCTTATCTAATCTAACTAAACAATTAAGTTTCAATGTGGTTTTCTTCCAACTAAATTTTTAAATTCATCATTCAGTTTTTAATGCTCATTTAATTAATATTTTGTTCAATTCAAGATCAATTTTGTAAATTTAAATTAATTGCAGACTTTTTTTAATAATGACCATTTCCTCTTGAATTCTTTCTACTGCCTGTTTTAAATTTTGATTTGTGACTTATTTTGCATATTCAGTCAGAATTTTTGCTTCTATAGCTCTATTTGGATACTTAATCATTTTGCATTCTTATTTTCTGAACACTCAGATATGTTGGTTAACATTTTCTAACTATTAAGAATCGCTTATTTTTTAGACATTAAACTAGGCTTTTTCATGAAAATACTGTCTATAAGTTATATTGAGTGATATAAGCCAAATAGATGCTTATCTCATAATTTAAACTGAAATTTATTACAAGAGCTTATTAAATTTACGTTAGTAATGAAACCATTTTTTCAAATTTTTGGTTAAATTTCAAAATTTTCCTAATGCTAAGTAAATTTTAAAAATACATTTAAATCATTTATCACCTAATTCTATATTTAACAAAAAATCAATTAAGAAAGAGTTAGATTACTACACATCATCCATTAAAAAAAATCAATATTTTTATTTGCTTAATACTTAAAAATACCTTTTTAAGTTGGAGTTTAGTGGAAAAATATTGGGATATTAAGTAAATAAATTAATTTTAAAGCTTTAAAATAATTATTCATATTAAATCTAAGATCGGTATGATTTAAACACTACATTATGTGAAATAATTTATTAGATATTGTAGCATTGAAAGAATATTTTTTTTCCTATGTAGGTTATAAAAAGGACTATGAATAATAATCACGGTTATGGTGGTTTTCCCGCTTCCAATTCCAGTTTCCAATCATTTTCATCTCAGTATGCATCAACTCCCACTAATAATAACACACGTTTTCAAAGACCAAGATTTGCATATGCTGGCCCTCCCTCGTATCCTCGTCCGAGATCATCTGCTAGCAAACCTAATCCTGACCCTTATGACAGTTTTCAAAGTTTTAATAGTGAATATGACTCAAACAAAAATAGCTCCGTAGATTACTCCCATGGATACGGTGATAGTATGAGTATGAGAAATAACTTTGGAGATACTAGTTTACATATGAATGATTCTTTAACTATGAACCAGTCTAGAAATTCTTTTGATGATTCTAGTTCTTATGTTACATGCAGTGAATCGTTTTATCAATCACCCCTGCGACCAGACTATTCTAATTACGATAATAAAAATTTATCGTTTGGTCCAGCTGACAGAGGGGGACGTGGCACATTTTCTAATAATAATGCTTTAAGACAGCAAGATACTTATTCAAATACAAATGTTGGAGGGTCAGCATTATTTAATAATAATCCTGTTGGAATATCACCTCCAAACTCTGTTTTTCGAGGATTAACTGGAACTTTTGCTACCAGCACTAAAGGACCTCTTATTGGAAATACCAGAGGGCGAGGAACATTTGGTCAGAATAGAGGATATGCTAGAGGAGGCTTTCAAAAGTAAGTTGTGATGTTAAATGTCCCTCTGGTATTTAATTATACATATATACAATTTTTATAAAAAAATGTCAATGACATTATTTATATAAATATTAAGTATTATACAGTAGTCCATCAGTTAGGTTTAATTGAAAGTTTCTTCCTGTACTTCCACTAACTGAGTATTGGCAAAGATTATATCTATGCAGACTTAAATTATCAAGAGGTTTATTTAAATTCTTTTTAGAAAATTATTAAATATTAAATTTTCTTAATTTTAATATTTAATAGTTTGCTAACAAAAATGTATGTTTATTAAAAAAATGTTTTGCTGACAAGGTGTTAAAGTGAACATCCAAACTTGGAAAAAGTAAAGTTAAATCTTTATTTTACCTATGAAGTTAGTATATAAATTAATTTGTTTATGTTTTCTGAAGAAAGAGACATTGCCCTCACATTTTAAGATTGAAATTGTTTTTATACAAAATAATTTATATGCTATGCTGTATATTTTTTTAAGCATACCTTCAGTCCGGAAGAAACTTTAGATTTAACCTATTAGGTGATTTTTCTTTTGCTGCCTTACTTTAAAATTTTAGGCATCAGATATTGTGACTGGTCTGTTTTCGTTTTTTAAATTGACCCATGTGTTTATTTCTGTGTGTATTGAATATATATATATGCACACACATACATGTATATACATATAAATATATGTATAGAAATATATATGTACACACACATACATATATATATACATATGAATAGATGTATAAAAATATATATGTACACACATACATATATATACATACGAATATATATATATATAGAAATAT